CTGATTTTGACCAATTTACTTGAATGTCATTGAAAGCGAAGAAACTGTTTGCAATTTCTGTAATTTTAATAAGGTCCAGTGTACGTTTTTACACAATACCTATTTGAAAAAAAGAATTTAACCATTAGGATAAGGGAATTAAATCAATTCGGATCAAAAGAAAAGCAAAACGAACCCAGATGCCATTTCCCAGAATTTAATTGTTTTATCACGAGAAGTTGAAATGATAATGTCACCAGATGGTAGGAATGTAACGGATGAAACGCTATGATCATGCCCGTAAAGAGTTTTAACACATTTGTAATCATTCTGCAAGTCCCACACTTTTATCGTCAAATCTGCCGAGCAAGAAACTAAAAAAAGACAACTTGTATATTTAACACGTTGAAATATATATATCCAAAGTTCACGTAAACGTCCGAAAAAAAAGGTCACCTAAAAAATTTCCTTTTGGATCAAAAGCTATGTCTTGAACCGCTTTGGTGTGCCCCTTAAGGGTTCTTTCGAAATCACCAGTCTCATAATCCCAAATTTTTACGGTAGTATCTTCCGATGCGGATGCAATTACAGAAAACACCGGATGAAACGTAACACGTGTAATAGGATTTCTGTGACCAGATAAAGAATATTTTTCTGGTGCACGTGGCACCCAGTCAACAGCGTTGTTTGTTTTTCGAATCGGTGCATTATTCAACTCTTCTTGCATTTGTGTAATTTTATTTTCCAAGTCCATAATCTAATTAAAAGGACGTAAAGATTTTTAATGAAATCTCAAAATAAAAATCCAATACGCTAATGATTATTCCAAATGATTCATTCATTCTTTTTTTCTTTTTCCTTTTTTTTTTTTTGGATTAATGTGTAAAATATTCAATGACCAGACAAGATGAAATCCTACAATCTCTGATACCTTTTTTTGTAACCGAATGACTGAAGTCCATTTCTTTTCCAACAAACCGGCATATTTTTGCTTGGGATTTTTGTAATTTCTTTTGATTTGTTTTTAATTTTATATTATCATACTTTCATAATAAAGATATTGCGAAACTACC